TTTATCGAGGAGTGCTACCATACAATATTATCATGATATGTAAACTCTTTGTTGTTTGTTTTTAGTTGTGTAAGGCAAAAAAAGCTACTACAAAACTACTACCTAGCTACTAAAGAGGGATTTAACGTTAATAGTACCACTTTCAATAATAAGGGTTAGAATGAGTACTTCTACATATATATAGGTCGGGATTGAGGGTTTAATCTTACTTGATCTATGCATTCTATATGTAACATAATTTTCTTCTTATTAGACGAAAAGATAGATCAAGCACTTAGGTTAAGAGGTGTGCTCTCTTCTTCTAAGATTTTTATAAAGAAAAACAAAGATTGATCGATTGACGTGGGTCTCAACTTGGCTCCTGAATTTCTTTGCACCCACCTTTCTTTTTTTTTTTTTTTGGTACTTTGGATAATTAACCTATGCAGCCTCATGTCTTTGATTTCCTATGGGTATCGATCTTCGAGCCTTACGGAGAAGAGGAGTCGATTCCTGTTCAGGCATAACAAGAGCTTCTTCAGCTCTTCTCCTATTTGTTTATAAGTCATTACTCGAGGTATTAGTCCCGATTTAGTCTAACCAATCTTTCACTACCAATCAGTCAAGGAAGAAGATTGTAAAGAAGATGTCTCATCCTCGATAGGTTAAGGAACCTAAAGTAGTCTAGATTCCCAAAGAGGAATTAAATAAAGTGCCTCTTACCCCTCAAGCACTAACATTTTTAGAAGGCCTTTGAAGAAGTTCTTATCGAAAAGAAAATGAGAAAGACCAAGGTTAGTATTTGATTTATGAAATGACAAGCTCTTGTCCTTTATAATACTAAAGATAGGTAGTATACTAGACTCATTTTCATACATATCATTGTAGCCAAGATGAGAGGGCTTACAAGAAGGATAGAAAATATGGAACAACGTTGAAGTTACGGAGCAACACTGCCAATAGTCCCTATGCACCATGATAGCAAAACAAATTTACCATTCCCCCTTAGAGGTTTTACTTGATGTAGGCTATCGTAATGAAGTGTTAGTAAGCTAAGCTACAACTAACCCCTTTAATGTCTTATTATTATATAATGTTAACTCTTCTATCTTTGATTTATAGCATCATCATGATAACGCAACCCTTTTATCTTTGAGTTACAACTAACCATGTATGGGATGATGACTCAATGATTAATCAACAATCTCTTATAATCGACAATCTCCAATAGGAGATGCAAGGGCTAAATATGAAGAAGAGAAACTCAACGCTTGTCACTGAAGTAGAGGTTCGAGGAGCTGCCAACATAATTGGAAGAGGCAATGACACTTCATGGATAAGGTTGAATAATTAAAGATGATCCAAAGCAACAAGTATAGCATGGAGGATGAGCTGCTATGATTTACCGGAGAGCTACATTCGCCGATGATCTTCAACTCTAAGCTTGTCAGGTAAGTTGTCATAACGAGTAGGTCATGAGTGTGACCAAGCAATTGACCACCTTGAATGAATAAATTCAGAGTTTGAGTAATAAGTTAGAGACTCTAAAAGATATTTTATAGGCTGATGATGACCATGATACTGAGGTATCAAGTGGAAGTTATTATCGACTATATGGCCTCTTCCAAGTTCAAAAAGGGTTTAGATAGGTCAGAGGTCACCTTGAATCAGTACTGATACTATGTTACCTTAGCCCATTTAAAGACGAGGTGCCCAGAGATTAAGGAAGACTCATTTATTGAGTACCCTAAAAACTAAAATATTTTGATAGCTACCCAAGTCCCCTTTAATGATGACCCCGACTTGCCACCTTACTCTGATGTTTACTCATTGTCTTGTCATGTTATGCTGGCCTTTACTGAGTCATTGGATTTGTTTACCCAACTTAATACTTATGTCTTTACTTTGTCATACCATCAAGTTGGTCCACCCAACTAATCTTCTATTTCGGTAGATTAAGATTCTATTTTGGATATAGAGATCCGATCGAGTTGGTATAGATTTTCTAAAGTAATAAAATTTCTTTCCCTTGCAACATCTATACCTTGAAAATATTTAATTTTTTTACAACTGATATCAAAGATATGTAAGATTAAGGCTTGACGCTTAGGGAATAGTTACTCTTTGAGAGATGTCTCAAAGGTAAAATTTCTTTAAGTTTATAATATGTTAAGTCCTTGGCAATACCACCTCAATTGTTGTTTTAAGGTGATAAGTTGCATCTCATATGACCTTGACAACTCGATAGGGCCCTCCTAATTTGGCACTAGCTTGCCCTCAAATTTAGTTGGGTTCTTGAGTTCAACTTTTAGAAATACCAAGTCCCCTAATGTAACTCCTCAAATCCACGTCCATGACCATCATCCCGGTGTTGAAGTATAGCATTGCTGGCGGCCGTCGAAGGTGCTGGAGAGGGTGGCGTCCGACCAGAATGCGTCGGTGAAGTAGTTGGTGAAGTTGGCGTGGTGGTACTCCGATGCCGCCACCACGTGGCCCTCGAGCTCCACCTCCTAGAGGTGGCAGATGTCATCGACGACGATGATGTTGGTAGATGACTCGGCGGACCTCGGGTGGGAGGATGTCAGCCAGGTAGATGCGCGCGTAGTTGAGCGACTGGTCCAGGGCTTGGCGGACGACTTAGAGATGCGGCTGCGCACACGGTGGGAGTCGAAGCGGTACATGCGGACGTCGAGATAGGGGAAGGCGGTGCGGATGCGTTCCGCGGGGACAGACGCGGGCATGCTCGACAGGCGACGGATGACATCGACGTGGATGCTGGAGGCGCAGTCTGCAAGGAGTAGGACGAGTGCCAAGGGCAGGAGGCCTTGGAAGTGGTGACGAAAGGAGGAAGCCATCCTGCCACAGCCGAGAGAGGAAGTGGTAGGAATTGAAGGTGGCGTTGGAGGCGAAGGAGAAGACGAAGGGGTTAAAGGAGGGAGGGCAGGCGATAAGTACGGGTGAGCTGGGAAAGCTGTCAATGGAAACGGGACGGAGGGTGAGACGCACGGGAGGAAGACCCATCGACGACATATTACTGTGACGTGTGACGCTGCTATCTACGTGGGGGTGGGGGAGGGGAAGGCGCGTTGAGGTTATCGAGGCGGTTAGAGGAAGGAGTCGGGTTCGGCTCGATTTGATGCGGATGCGGACCCGACACAATTTTCCAAAAACCCACTAAGAAATTATTTCTTAAGGGTATTTTATTCAGCAGGCAATCCGTTTCCGGTGATCAGCACCTTCGGATCCCCTCCGTCTCAAACCATACCTCTTTGTTATTGGACGTTTCCGTTACGTTATGCGTTGAACCGTATCATCTTCGTCCTCGGCGTCTCTGTTTCTCTTCGCCCTTCTCTCTCCACGTGTTGTGCCCTAACTATAGCGCGAAGACGTGCTCTCCGCCATGGATTTCCTCAAGACGGTCTTCTCCGCCGATCCTGAGCCCTCCCAGCCGCATGATGACGACTATCGACGAGGAGAGGGCGGCGGCGCTTCGGAGTGGAGCTTCGGTGGTTTCATCAAGACCTTGGCCTCCATGTCGGAGTCGGTCATCCAGACCTACCGTCGCGACCTCGCGGAGTTTGGCACCGGCCTGAAGAAGGAGACGGAGGCAGTCGGGAAGGCCGCCGCGCGCGCCTTCCGTGACCTCGATGGCTCGGTGTGGCGGGGAACCGGCAAAGAAGCGGTGGAGACTGGAGATGACTCCGGGCCGACCAACACCGTCAGCTCTTCCCGGAGGTACAGCCGATTCGACGTGGAGCTGCTTACAGTACAGTCGGAGGTGCGTACCTTCTCGGAAGACCCGAAGGAGGCCGAGGACTTCAGCAAGTGGAGATCCGAATTCGATTTGGTTGAGAAGGAGGAGGAGATCGAGAATCTTTGCCGTGAGAATGGAGCTTTGCTTAGGCTTTTGAACAAGCTGGTGCCTGGTGTTGTGGAGTACGAGACATTCTGGTTCCGGCACTACTACCGGGTGCGTAAGCTGAAGCAGGCAGAGGACGCCAGAGCAAAGCTTGTGAGGAGGATGATTCGGAGAGAGGAGGAGTTGGAGGAGCTGAGCTGGGAGGTTGATGATGATGACGAGGGTGACGAGGAAGAACTTGAGACGGAAGAAATCAAAGAAGAAAAGAAAGACAGGGAAGCGAAGTCGACCTGCAAGTCGGATGAAGCTGTGGTGGCTGAAGGGTCATGCAAGGACGGTGAGTTCTTAATCATCTCGACGCAGAATTCTGTGTCAGAGGAAGATGATCTCGGGTGGGATGAGATTGAGGATTTGGGCGAGCATGATGAGAAGAAGGGTGGTGGATCAGTGCCTGGACGATGATGATCCTTCCAATCCTTGATTCGACGACATTGCTTGGCCAATAAAGATTGCTTTTTTCTTGATGTGCATTTGATTGTCAATAGTTATTTACCTGATGTTTCAACTGGGATGGTGCTTGCCATCTGAAAGCGAGGAAAAGATTAGATCAGCTGATTGTAAGCATCCATCTACTAATGAGAATAACCAACAATAAGCAGCTTAACTTTTCTACTTCACCATAAACGCAACTGTCAGTCCTTACCTGTCATTAAGGTTAAGCAAATATCATACCCAGTTAACTAAGGGAAAGAATAAACTGGTATGTAGTTGATAAGCACAGTATATACCTTCAGCTCTTTATAAAAGTCCGATGGTTTTATGAAGCTGCTCTCTTCATCTGTGCCTGTAGAACTTGATATAAAGTTGATGATGGTCTATATGAGTTCTTTTGATTACACCTGACATCTCATAATTTCAAGCTAGTCTATCTGAATAACTCTTTAACTGAAAACCACCAAATTCTTGTGGAGATCCAAAATCTAAATTTAACCAAAGAAGTGTGACTCAGAAATCTATCACCTTGAAGATGACACTAACATAAATATTACAAAATTCTAAGATTCCCAGGAGAGGATTCATGCAAGCTTTTGCTAACCTAAAAATGGTGTAGTAATCAGCCCTCCACTTCAAAGAGACTAGCCACGCTAATGGAAAAGGAAACTTCTGAACAACAAATACCTCTCCACCGTTCTTGTCACAACCTTAACTACATGCACTGCACCATAAAACAGAAAATGCACCTCAAAAGTTGCTGACTTTGATCCCTATAGTTCTTTAAGAATGATCCTTGAGTCACACTCAGTGACTTTCTGGAGCCAGGAGCATCTATGCTTGAGCTTCTAAGGGAGATGGCAACGACGGTAGCCGTCTCTTCTGGATACGAGGCGGAAGATGCTTGGTGTACTTCTTTGGTCCAACCATCCATGGTAAGAACACGCCTGTGCCATTGCGTGGCGCCTTCTTGCTGGAGCTCATGGCCACGGCTCTAGGTGGCGCCAGCATGACAACAGGACTACGAAGAGTCAAACCCCATGCCGCTGGAATCATGCCGTGAGGCCCATAGGCAATGACTCCAGCATTGGACACTTTTGGTGCAGGTTGCCACAGGGTCATTGCTTTGGTTGGCTGTAGCGCGGCTGGTGAATCTGCCAGGTGATTGGCAGATCTAACCTTCACAAATGTGATGATCATCCTCTTATTTGGTGATGCGCACACAACATGCCTCGCCATTTCAGCACTATTGCCACGCATAACTAGGAGCGTCCTGCAACAAAGTCATGTACGATTATACAAATTTCAACCTTCTAATCATTGGAAGTGTCTTATTTGATGCTAGTATATTACAGTGTTATGCCTCCGAACAGACGCCAGTTAAACAGGGATTCTTTTAACTTACATCGGCTGATTACCTAAATTTCTACTGGTGCTGCATTCGAATTGGGTAATTTAATAGCATAAACTTGTGGAAAGAATAGAAAGCTAATGGAAAACCATTGATGTAGGATCTAGTCCGTACCCTTCTTTTATTGGAAGGGTTAGGGATCCCTTATAGTTCCCTTCATGGTCACTGACAAGAGACCGCCCAAAAGCCATTGTCGTTTCTGAGAGGAGAAGCGTAGAAATGGGATTGTCCAAATGTGGGGGTTTAAAATATGGCTGTGAATGTTCATCCTGCAGCAGAATCAAGAACTTTGAAATCTCAAGGCATATGTAAGATTTTCCCGATGCTATGAAGAAAAGGAGTTACCTCATCAAAGAAGTTGATTATGCAGCTGTTGGGCTTCCTACTTTCTGGTATTAAGCGCCAATGGACCAAGTGATCAATTACAGTCTGCAAAGCAGGTGGAATTGATTCGATATTACCTACACCAAACATTTCTTTTGTTATCCAGTAGTTATTAGTCTAACACATTGATAAAAGGTTGTTTTTATATGCTTTCGGATGCATTTTGCAAATTTCAGAATTCAGATATATTTTGAATTGTGAGAAACTAGAGGCTTAGTCTTGATTGTACATTGTAAATAAGTGCTAGATATGGACAAAAGGACATCAATGACCATGATATTTATCAATAGAATCAGAATGCTGCTAATAACTTCGAGGGAAAATCATGTGCGTTTGAATGCAAAAATGAAAAATGCACCAAACCTTGTAAGAAATAAAAATAGAAGTTTGGAACAGTTCTCAAGAAGTTGGGGTTTACTTGCTGCATCCTCAGTAGTTGATTGGAATAGTGGGACGCCAAGCTGAATGATCTCTCTCTTGTTCCCTTTCATTTGTTTGTTGAAGAAAATAAATGTTTCTCCTGAAAACATAGGCACAAAGACAATTGTGGGACAAATTCAGCATCTGATGATCAGATTGGATCTATGGTGATGTTATGTATACCAAAGTATATATGTGCATCGATCAGAAATGGAAACTTTATATACTACGTCCCTGCAATTATGCTGGATTTTTTCATATCATTTGCATCACATCATGAACAACATCAGACAAATTGTTTACACATGATGTATACGAATTGAATGCTGCTATTACCAAAGTTCAGATATTAGCAGAAGAAAGGCAACTTTTACTTGCAACTTCATTTGTAAAGCATGAGATCAAAAAGCAGAACAAGGGACTTGCTTAGTTCTTGCTAAGCATAATCTTACTATAGAAAATTAACTGAAGCACAGATGCCAAATGCCTTAATTCACTTCATTTCTTTAAACTCTTCTATTATATTTTGTTTAATTTTCCATTGCTCTTATTTAAGAAACAGACACTTGCAATTAACCCTTTGGTGAAATCCAGTGCTTGATCCATTTCTAGTCAGCAAAGGAAAGATCCTGATATTTTATTATGAGGTAGATTCCAAGTCTAAACTACATAATGAAGCCAAGTAAAAATTTAAGTAACTTTTTATCATTACCAACAACATAAACCCTCCAAGATGCTGCATGCTAACAAATGGAAACTCTGAGCCAGATTCAAGAAAACAAGGCTAGTCCATGTAAGGGAGAAACTCTGATGTTGGTTGTAGATTGAAGTTCATTTAACCACAGTGGACTCTCGTAAACTCTGAAATATCTACAAAGAATTGAAGCAAAGAGTGAACAGGAAAACCACCAATATAAGTTTGTAACTCTCTGGTCCTCTGAGACGTAAATAACAAGCCTAATTTGCATAAAATCATGTCAGCCTCCAAGTATTTGAATTGACCTCTGAATAAATAGTAATCTCTTGAAAAGCAATCCTACTATTTTATACTAAAAACCAATTCATATCAAAGAAGCAATGAACATTGTTTTTTTACCTGAGAGTTCTCCTCTGCGTCCAGCAAGACGAAGTTCATTAACGTATTCAGCAAGCCCGACAAGCTCTGAGTCTGTGAAAATGTCCTCATACAACTTAAGACCTTTTACAACATTGACCTGATCAACAATTACAAAGAGCAATTAGCAAATTTGATCATATAGGAAACTCATAAACATATAAATGAACTATTAGCCCTGTGGCATCTTCTATTGCATCACTATACAGAAAATGCTAAATGATGTTAAGATGGAACTTGCCATATGCCCTTTCACTGCCTCCTTGGCCACAAAACCTTTTGAGATCTTGATCCTTTCAGGACGTGCCAAGCAATCTTCATGGTCCACGCAAATATTGACCTTGTCGAACAAAGTTCCTTCCTCTTGAGATCCTAGAAGCAACAAAATATTTTAGAAACATTAGTACCGCAATAGTTGAAACTTTTTGAAATGTTATTGCCTCAATTGATGAAAATTTTAGACACAACTGCTTCATATCCAATGTATTGTTGCAGAAGCAAACAGAAAAATTTCAAAATAAGCTTCTGTTGCAGTTTATCATTATGGATCTTCATAATCTAGTACAAAGAATTCTAAATCAATTATTAGACTAAATTGAAAGGATTCCGCAATCAACCAGGTAGCCAAAAGGCACATACCATGGTCAGAAGTAGTTCCTGGTAGCCATTGGAGTAGTGATTTTAACCTTTAATATTTCCAGAATTTGTTTGATTTATACTAATTTAATCACATTAAGTTGTATCATCTTAGGTGTTTCACAATTTTTAAGCAGTGTTCAGTAATTTCTTGGAATTGTAAACAAAATCGATAAAATGATTAAGGATGACTCACCTGACAACTAATAACGTTGACACAAAAGAACTCTTTAACTTGGGAAAAGCTGCACATTGGGATAATTATGACATGCATATTGGATAGCATTTTGATATCTTCGGGACACTGAATGTCAGTACTAGTGAGGTATGCTGGAATCCAAGTCTGGTTGAATGAAGCAACCCAAATGGTCGCAGATGTTTGGTTTTTAGTTGCATGGAGTGCTACCACAAGGAATTCTCTAATATAAAGAGAGTTGGCACATAATCAGATATGCACCACTAAAAATTGATATATGATTAAAGAACATATAGTATTTCCCTCACAATGGAGTTTCACTAAGTTGCTATTTAGATTTAGGAAAATTTAACAAAATAATTTATTAAGAAAATATGACAAATGGAACTGTTTGGTATGGCAAGTTAGCTTCCGACACAACAAACTAGCAACGTAGTCTAGTTTGATTATTACCTTGAGGCTTCAAAGATTCGAGAAATAGTTACCATAGCAGCAGAGCTGCCTACACATATCCTAATCCATTTCTCCTATGATAAAAAGGCCTAGACCTACCTTCATTTAGAATTTTCAATTTTTTGATTCCAACAAAAATGATTGATGTAGACCATATCAAGTTACTTCGAGTGACTTCAAGGCAGTCAAGTTTCAGAATTTTTGGGCTAATCATTTTCCCAAATGTCACAGACATATCAAAGAGCAGATGTTCTAGATAGATTCACCATAACTGATGACAAAACTGAAGCCTCACCCCTGATGACGGAACGGTCGACTGCCATGATGCTTGCTCAATGGAGAAAGTTCCTCGAACACATATCTAGACCGACGTCGAACACGTTGAACTTCTAGACACACAGGCCTTACACGTTTCTAGTAATCTGGGCCGACCTGGTGAACGCGCAGAGCAGACCGAAAAATGTGGCCGAGGAAAAGGGCTGACAACCGCGGGCCCCGGCGGGCTAAGATTTTGTATATTCTCTCTGGGTCCCACTCGTGAAGGGTCGATTAAATACTCGATTTAGGCGGCTACGTACCGTTTCAACCTTGGATTCCTTGAGACGTGGGACGCGGCCACCGCCACCCCCCGTCTCCTACCTTCCCGTCAATAGACCCCGCTACAGAAAAATGTAAATTAAACAGCAAAAGCAGCAGCCAAACGGCTGATTTGTGCCGCCGATCGACACGCGGCTTGACCGGCGCATCACCAAACCAGCCCATCTGGGTTGGTTGACCACCGAACAGAGTAGCACGTGCCCCCGACCAACGCTCCCCCAACCAGATTCGAGGACCATCAGCTGATCCAACCCGTCCGATGATGATCAGACGGCCCCAAGCTAAACACGTATTAAAGAAATCGCTGGATCCCCATCGCACGGGTCGAGGCCTAAAGCAAATGCCACGTGACGCATTCCCGGAGCTCTCTACCTCTATCCGACCCCAAAAAAATAAATAAAACCTTCCATGTGTCGTAGCTTCTGCCACTGGCATGCATCTTATTTTCCAAGTTGATGTACTCCCCCCTTCTAAGGACTGCGTGCCCTCTTTAGGAGACCCCTCTCACCATAAATCCAAGACGAGAAAGTTACTTGAAAGTTACATGATTTCAACACGCTCCAGAGTACTTCAATTCCCCCGTTCGTGAACCCATTGACGGGCCAAAGTAAATACGCTAACTCGACGACGACGCCCCCTACCGCTAGGGCGGCGGCGTGGAATGGAGGTAAGTAAAGATCGGGGCATCTGGGCCGTCCGATACAACTCGCAATCCCTAACATACCAAAGAGGTAGAAGAGGTGGGTGACTCCAGCTTCGCTCCGGTGCGGACGACTACCCAACGGTGACGGAAACAGATCTACCAATTAGGAATGCAAATGATGTTAAAACGATCTAAAACACGACGGCATTATTAATATAAAAACAAATGAATAACATTAATGATTTATTCAAGAGTTGAGAAATTATGGTTACCTCCTTTGCCGTCACCGTCTTCGGCACTCTTGTGATCTGAAGAATCACCGGAACGAACCTCCGCCGGCGCCGCTTCCTCCTCGAGGCCGACCCTACCTCCTTCGGTCAGTTCCCCCTCCGCAGCAGCACCAGTTGCAGGTTCCTCCGCCGCTGCCGCCGCTTCATCTTCAACCGCGATCGTAGCGCCATCGGCGGCCGTATCCTCCGAAGCAGCATGGTCCTCATCCGCCTGAGCGTCGCCGCTCTCCATCGTCTTCTCCTCCTCCGGCGTCGCCGCCAGCTGCTTCGCCTCCAGCGGCTCCTCGGCCGCGGAGGCGAAGTAGACCGCCGCGGAGTTGGCCGCCACCAAGCCGAGCTCGTCGGTGATATCGGCGATGGAGTAGTACTTTTGCATGTGGAGCACGGGGATCCAGTTCAGTCGACGCCGGTGTATGGCAGCGAAAACCGCCTCGTACTCCTTCCCCTCTCCGATCTGCACCAGGTGCCCGCACAGGGCGTCGATGATCGCGTTAGCCGCCGCGAACTCGCCCCGAAACCACGCGATCATCGCGTCCCTCGCGTACACCTCCGGCACCGCCGTCGCCATCACCTCCACCGATCAATCACTCCTCCTCCTACTTTCCACCCCAATTCCACACCAAAATTTCCCAATTTATCCTGAAATTTCTAGCGGAAGGGAGGGAGAGGGAGGAACTTGAAGCAATTAGCGCAAAAGAAGTATCTGAAAAATGAGACGACGAGCGAGACTCCGAGCCGTCCATAAATACTATTGGAGGCAGTACACGCCGTATGCCACGTGCCGAGCGAGGAGGACCGGAGGACAAAAACCGGGACGACCATGACGGTACAGCGATCGGAGGTGATCGCACCGTCCCGGCGAAATGCGGCTACCCGCCTCACGACCGCGGTGACGGGATCCCCTTTTGCGCCTTCATCTACGTGGTCCTCGCCCGATGGGGACGTCGATGCCTCCCCCGCCGCTCGTTCGGAGGGATGCGTGGCGCGGCCTGTGGGGCCAGAAATCTCGGCCGTCCGATTCCCGGGGACGGTTGGTCAACCGGCCCTCCCTCGAGCGATTCCGTTCGACGGTCGTGATCCAGCTTCAGTCGCTCGACGGCCGTGATCTCCCTGAAATCATTTAATCCGTTGTTTCCCAGCCGCGTCACATTATTAGTCGTATACGTTTTCTTTATGTATTCGTTGCGCTGCGTCCGTTCTGGCGTCGAGATGGCGTCAGCGAGCACGCCCGTCGAGAGCGAACGGTTTGCGAGAGCTGGGTGTGAGGAGATAGACAGGAAGCACAGATCACATCTCACGACGGAAATGGGTCGCGCGCACTACCCTCCTCTCTCACGAGCGAGCGCCGTGTTTCCTGTCTCGAGTAACATAGCTCAGCGGCGCCTCGGAACACCAAATACCGTTGCGCTTACTTCAAGGTTTTCTGCACTCGTCGGTGCGAGCTAACGTCGCACCACCAAACTTCGCCTGAGCCTATCGTTTCTTTGGGAACCGTAAAAGAAGGTCTTCTGCTTCTATTCTATCTTGGCTCTCGCAGAAGCAAGTCGCACGACTGCAAGCTTCACAGTCATTTAATTCGAGGACGGTAGGATTAGAATAGTGTGGATCTTGGCTCCTCGAGAGATCGAATCGCCCTAAAGCCTCAGTTTTGAAGACTCGAAGACAGCAAATACGAGTGTGGGAGCAGAGAAACGATTCGCGTACTGAACCGGGTTGGCATGGACGTCGACAGGCGTCACGAGGGTAGCGGGGAGTAGTTTAAAGGTGAGTTCCTGCAGGACGGTGTCTGCATCCGCGGTGTACATGTGTGAGGCTTATATCTAAAGCGCGGTAAGCTTCACGAGGTACGTGCTCCGCATCTGCTCCTATTGTTTTCTCTCCTTTTCCTTCTTGCCAGCGTTCTCTTTGAACGGGACCCATGTGCCGGGGCCCATCCTTTTGCCACCCGGGACCCAGCAGAGACCAATGTCGAAGAGGAAAACGACGGCGACCGCACCACCACAAAGGTGACGGAGGTGATGGGTGGGGCCCCTTGATAAGAAAATATATAATGCATGGAGGATTGCAAATAGAAACTAATAATAATATAAACACACCGCAAGTGGTAAATGTGTTGATGGCATGAAGGTTTTTAAAGCTGAAGAGAGTAAAACAAGCAGTAAAAATAAAGGGTGAGGCAGTGTAACCCCCAAATATGGATCCCGACTAGTTTGATCGTTTGGCTTATGGGAAGTCATCACTGCCCATCTTTAGTTACTTAACGTAATAAAGCAGTGGATGCCTCTTTCCTTCTATAATAAAACGTAATTAATATAAGTATTTAAATGACAAAAGAAGAAAATTAGCCTATGCTTATATCATGTACTTATTTGGTTTGACATAACCCAGTGGTTCTCTTGGAAAAAGAATTAGCTCATGTGATGAACATATATATATATATATATATATATATATATATATATGTGGATTGACAAGAGGCGGTAAAAGCATGGGAGTAAAGCCTGCAGAGGAGAGGATGGAAAGCGGGACTCCACCGCAGGGAATGAAGTGGGGAAGCCAGCAATGAGAAAGCGTGACTGCGGTGGTCCTTCGGCTCCTTCCCTCACCAGGAATAATCTACAGGGGAGAGATCGAAGCGCTCATTGGGTGGTGGAAACTTAAAGAGCCGGAGCACCAAATCCCAGCCGTGTGATGGTGGGTGCGGTGGTGGCTGCAACACAGACAGCTTCATAGTGCTCTCAGGTACAGTGTTCAAACCCTCTTTCACTCCTCAGCCATGCTTCATACAGATCTCTTGTATGATGTAATGCCTCTGATGCAATTCGTGATGCCACCTTGCTCGATCCTGTTCTTGGATGGCGATGCAAAGATGCATCTTCTGTCACCATCCTTGCTCCAAGGAATGACTGTATCAGAATCATAGATCAAAGATGTTGCTCATGTTTTATTGCATTGGTAGCATGATATTTGCTGCAGAGCTACAGAATGATAGCATGAAACTTGCAGGTGTGATTATTTAGATGCTGAGAAACCACAAAGTTCCTGCCATGTCTTTATAGCTTAGACAACCGAAGGCACCCTTTCTAAAATGTTCATCTGGGACATCATCCGAGGAGCATTGAGCACCACAAATGGCTCCATCACTCATAAAGTTCTTGACTCAGAATATGTTCTTCTTGAAGCTTTCAATCTTTTGTTGCAAAGTTGACTACACATGCAGTATCCATCACAAAAGCCTCTGCTCTTTGGAGCCCACCAAGTGGGCGTATGAGCTCCATCTGCCCTCTACTTTTCATATGCATGCCTCCAATTATTGAGTGGTAGACAAATACATCATGACACAGCTCCACTGACACTTTATTGCACTTGTACATAGTGATGATGATGAGTACATTAGTGGTATTAAGTCTCTAACAAGAACCTTCTGACTCCTGCTTTTCTAGCCTTTGTTCTACTCTTTCTACTTTGTACACTCATACACATCCATAGTACTCAAGATCAATTGAATAATCCCTGGACAAGAATCTGTTCCTTTTATTCCAGTATTGCTTGTCAAGCATTAACCTCTCATTTCACTGTAGACAAATAGATTACTTTCTCTTCATTCTCGATGACAGTGTGGATGGTTCGGATCAGCTCTGCGGCACATGGCAAGAATGATAAGTACATCAGAGATGCAGCATTTAATGTAGCTTTAGCTTTCCAAAGGGAATGGAGGAATCAGATGCTCATTTCCTCCCACCCATCAACAAAGTGCTATGGGGGTTACATGCAGTGAAAGCTTGGCTTCTTTTGGACAATCAAGTCGGTGAGGGCAGTAAGTGCCCCAAACATGAAGATAACTTCAAAGTCTCATCTGATGGGACCTGTTAGTATCCTTTTGCCGATGCTAATTGCATGGTGCTTTGATCGTGGGGATACTAATAGCTGTGTGCCTAATGCTTCTTTACTACCACATGAACAGCATGAACAAAGGTCATTATTTCCTCATGATGATGTCCAGGACTTCTATGTTATGATTTCTCTCGAGGGAAGAATGTCTTACTGGATGTGTCCCAAATTCTCATCCAACAAGTGAGCTTCTTTTTCTACCGCAGGATGCTATGATTAGATGCAAGTTTGACCACAGTGCTTGATGGAATGTGGAACACTAAATTCATCATCTAACTGGAGCTGAGCTTTTCTAAGAATGGAGAGTCCACCCACACAACCATGAAAGTGCAGATTGGGAATGACAAGTTAGAAACTTTCAGACCAACTTTTCCAATGATGTGACAACTGATGTTAATCCAATCATGTATATGCATGTATATACAACTTGCTAACTGTACTAGAAAGTGATCTGCACAGATGGCCATGGTAACAATGATGTTTCAGCAATGTGAGTTTGGGTATAGAACAAGACACTTCATGAACTTTGAGATGAAAGAAAAATCCATGGAAATCAACTAAAAAAACAGGAACAGACAATAATGACAGATTGCAGAAAATGTGGCTACTAAATACTCCAAATTGGTGTTATTAAATCAACCCTTTTCCAATCCAGATATACTAGTGCATGCTTTTTGGTAAACCAAATGATTGATTATTGATTTCCTACACTTGCTTCAGTGTTTGGCCAGCCAGCTTTGCATCATCAAGAGATTGGCTTAACCCGTATTCAAATGGATGTGCTTAACCCGACCCATTGGCAGCCCTACTGATACCAACCCCTACGATGCAAGTCACGACTGAAGTCGCGAAACCATGGTACTGACTTCAATCGGCCTAATGTCTAGCGGCGGTCGACACAGAAACCGAACCGGGCCGAAGTCGAGCTGTAATACGCGTGGTTGGTTCAGCTCTGAGGTTTCACGCTCCTAAAACCCTAATTCCAAAGACACTTGCCAGCGCATCCAGAAGAGGGTTTTGATCCCCGAACCCCTGGGCGGCGATCTTCCATTATAATTCTCCGATGGCCACCGCTGCCGCTCTGAGGAACCCTAATTCGAGGCGACTCCTCCGCTTCTCGCCCGCCTCCCCTCTCATCTACTCATGCTGTCGCGGCGCGATCGTCGGCCCCGAGCCGCAATCTTTGCCTGGTCCCATTCTTGGGGGCGAGCCGGCGGCTGCGCATTGGTTGAGGAGGTCCATGGCCACCTTCACTCGGACGTAAGATTCCAGTGCCTCTCATTTGATACTTGTGTCGTTTTCCTTCATGCGACGGGAATCTTGCTTCCTTGATGTATTTTTGGAAATATGATCTTCCAATGAACGCTTGTGTTTCTTGAACTCGATGGAGAAATCTCGGGTTTTCTGATGTATTTGTTCGTTACTTATTTGGGAAGTTCAATAAGGTTGGTCCTTCAGACCATATTGTAAAGGAATCCAGTCGGTCCGTAATTGGTTGATCCACCTGAGATTAGGCCTCATCGATTGCACTGATTGATTGGATATATAGCTACTATTGGAGGAAACGTGGTCGGATTCCTTTGAGGAAAGTACCCTCCAACTGTAATGCAGCTCAGCATAACAACGTCCAGAACCTAGTGAAATCACCTTTTCTGCTATTGGTGACGTGAAGGTAATGGATAGCCCTATATATGCGCTTGAAAACTGGACAAACTCAACATATAGATTGCCATGCCTGATACTTCTGTATTTCCATAATACCCTGCTCTTGGACTGGTTCCTGCTAGTGTCCAATTACATTACTTTTAACCTTATTATTGACCTATTGGAAAACATATTAAAACCCAGTTGTTGCTAACCTATTTTTTGTCAAAATAATATTTAACTTCTAGATTGCACTAGTCTAGAGCTATAAGAAGCACGAGCACGTGATTTTGGTATATGTGTCCATCTTCGACATGTGTCTGACACCCGTGTGTGATGCTACATTTTTGTGACCCTCATGTGAGGGTCATATGCTTCGCAAGAAAAGAACTCTGGAGATCGTCGCAAGGAAGCGTATATCAATTCTATCTTGAGATTGTTAAATATTATTTGATATACTTAACTTTTATTTTGGATACTTAAATTTGGATGATTTTAATTGTTTTAACCTATATGATGATATCTATTTGTTCAAATTATTGAGTTTATAAAATTTAATTATAAATATTATAAAACTCATGCTAATTGAATTAATTAATTATACATACATACATACATACATACATACATACATGTATGTATATATATACATATATATACACACACATGTCCTCGTTGTATCCGTGTCCTATTTTTTTAAAAAATTGTGTGTCATCATGTCTGTCTCCCATGTCTGTGTCTGTGCTTCATAGGTCTAGAGTAAGGTTCAAATTATTACATGAATATATTTTGAAAATTTTGTAATCAAAGTAATGTGCTTCATATAGCAACTTTTCTAATTAACTTTCTTCACACTAGGAAGGATAACCCTTTGACTTTGTCATTCTAGGTTTTGGCACAAGGTTCTAGTGTGTGGTTATCCTGTCTGCTTTTTTCTTCAATTCTCAGGTTTACTTTGATGATGGCTGTTTCATGTTTAAGATCTGAAACCTTGTGACATAGGCAAATCTATTGTTTGTTTTTAAGTTAGTCTTCTCTCACCAGCTATTCATCCAGAGCTTCTTAATTGAAGAGGATTTAAGTAGGGTCCATCATCTTGGAAGGAATGCTTCTTGGTTGATGTTATATTGTTTTGCTTTATAAACTTATTCTGTTTTACCTGGTACTAATTTTGCTGTTTTACTTGCAAGTTAGTTCGTTCAGGCAGCTAATCCAGTATGACAAATTCTCTGTCTCACGCTGCTTATAGAAAGACAACATAGGTTAAAAGATCTTTTAGCTAAAGATCTCGTATTTTTCTCTTGTTATCCCAGGAAACCTCATGTAAATGTTGGTACCATTGGGCATGTTGATCATGGCAAAACTACACTAACAGCAGCGATTACCAAGGTAAAGCTTGCCTTTTTAGGAGTTCAGATTTCTTTGAATTAGTTTTATTTTGGTTTGACTGTTGGTCTATTCTTTTTAGTATCTAACTCCTTAATTTCCGATGTTACAATTCCAAAGTTTTCTACGGTTGGTTGGGACAAAGTTGTAAATCTTTATTTTTTTTTTCCCTTCACTATTAGTTGAAAGCAGAGTTTATTATTGTCTTTTTCTCCAGGTTCTAGCTGAAGAGGGAAAAGCTAAAGCTGTTGCTTTTGATGAGATCGACAAAGCTCCTGAGGAGAAAGCTAGAGGAATTACCATTGCAACAGTCTGTACATCCTTTCTTTTCTTCGCATCTGTCATGGCAAGTTTTATTTTTTATTTTTACAATGTGTTGATATTTCTTCTTTCTGCAGGCCCATGTGGAGTATGAAACAGCAAAACGACACTATGCCCATGTTGATTGCCCAGGACATGCTGATTATGTTAAGGTAAAGTGTGAAACCGTTTACTGTGTCTGATCTTAGCAACATTAGGATAATTGTTTGTACAACTGCAACTTTCTGGTCATGACAGTATTCGTAGCCTGCCAATTAGATGCCTAATTGGAGATATGTATTTGCGAAACATAACAGTATTTTAAGGATTCATTGCTTGAATTCTCAATTAAAGATTCTTGGAGGAGCAATTGTGGAAGCCAATTTTTGTAGGTAGGAAATGTTGATGCGTGTGCTTTTCCATTAGATACTGTCACAGTCACACTTGTCTTTTGAGGAGGGAACTAGTGTAACATGGATAGATACATGAGAGTTTGCTGACAGCAATTTCTCATGCTGGTTAGGGCTTTAGATTGGACCAACTATTAGGAACTGGAGTGAGTCCTATCCCTGGAGCAAATATGGGCTTGTTTAACTGAGCTTATGAAAGGGCCTTTTGTAGCTTTTAAAGAAAAGGTTGCTTTTGCAAACATTTGGTTGTTTGGTGACACATTTTCAAAAGGGCTTTTGGAGAAAAGAGAAGTTAAAATAGTTACTTTTAGAGGAGGTTATGACTTCATAACTTGTTGTAAAGGGATTATTTATTTAACCCCTCTTGATTGCCACAATAATTGCTGTTGTCATCATGACAACCTTAAGTTTTGATCACTAGACATGCTGTTATTGTGATAGCAATGACCACTGGCAGTAGCTGTTATCATAATTTGTGACTATCATTACTGTTACCATCATCACTATTGCCTCATTGTACCACCTCCATCGCCATTGGTGATTGTTGCCATCATCATTCTTACTCATCATCATCACCACCATCACCAACAATGTCACTATGACTGCAATCATCCATCTCAATACTTCCACCAACAGTTTTTAATCACTACCGCTGCCATTGTCACTTTCTATAGTCGCATTGCTAACATTAACTTCATCATAGCTTTTGCTACCGCCATCGTGTTTATCACAATCACCACTTCTTCCACCTTCATTGCAACTGCCATTAATTTCATCACTACCATTCTCACTGCCAATAGTACAACCGTAACCATCATCAACTACTGCAATCATCACGGTGGCTGTGATCATCTGTCATCATCATATCGTCACCTTGCTCACATCACTTGTTACCACCATTGTTACTGCTTATGCCATCACTGACCACCATCAGTATCACTACACCAACTGCTGTAACTATGGTCATCATGATTGAAAGCTCCATACAATCTTTTTTGCACTAAAATTATTACAACTCTTAACTGACCATCAATACTTTTGAACTTCAATTTTGTATCTAGACTATTGGAATTTTCTTTGATGGGCCTTTTTTCCTGGTATGACTAATGATTCAGAAATTTCAAGTCTAGCAACCTGAAACAGTTTCTAACACAAGTAGCTATTAGTAAGTCTTTTCCCTAGGGAAATCAATCTGTAGTTGTATAGTGTTGAAATCATCTCAAATTAATGTGTACTGGAGTGTCAACTGCTATATACTGAAATTACATAACTTTTACTTCTTGAAATTTTTACTCAATCTTAAAAATATGTTAAGGATATTAAGTACTGTTTTATTGTCATCAATTGATATTTGTGTTTGCTGTGAGTAGCTTATTTGCTTTACGAGTTATCATAAGGGTAACACCCTCTTTGTATTCTTCTCTAACATATTAACTAATACCTGGGAGAAAATTGAGTGAGAGGAAGAGTGTCTCTTTATTGTCTGCCTTATTGTTCTATCAATAAACAGAATATGATCACTGGAGCTGCTCAAATGGATGGTGGTATCCTTGTTGTATCAGCACCTGATGGACCAATGCCCCAAACAAAGGAGCATATTCTGCTTGCTCGCCAGGTATTACTCTTGTTTAATATAATACCATGCTATTGAATTAGTCTTTTCATGGATAATCTGTCTGGTGTTTCTGTAGACTAATTCAGTTCTTTTTTATCTATTGCGCCTCATAGGTGGGTGTGCCATCACTTGTCTGCTTTCTGAACAAGGTTGATGCTGTTGATGATCCTGAGTTACTAGAGCTTGTAGAACTGGAGCTTCGAGGTATGCTGTTGCATGACACTATTTCTTTGTGAAAAAACTATTTCTGATAGATTGGTTATGCTTTACATTCTTTTGCTTATCTACAGAGCTGCTTAGCTTTTACAAGTTCCCTGGGGATGAGATTCCTATTATTCGAGGCTCAGCATTATGCGCTTTGCAGGGAACAAATGAAGAAATTGGCAAACAGGCAATTCTAAAATTAATGGATGCAGTAGATGAATACATACCAGATCCAATACGTCAGCTTGACAAGCCATTTCTCATGCCAATTGAAGATGTGTTTTCAATACAGGTCAATAGCATGTTACTTTGATATGCATCTAAACTAGACTTATCATTTGGGAACTAATTGGAATTTTGAGCAGTTTTTATTGTATGATCTTTATTTTCTTTTGCTTGCACTATATGTTATCTAGGGAACAGGAAAATTTCTCGACTTAATGATGACATTTCTGCATGAAATATTCTTATTCGTCTTTAAGTGAAGATAGTAGATTTTAGGAATTATGACATATTCTGGATTTTATGGCTGATTGTGGACAACCTCTAGGTAGCCCTTTACAAAATGGAAAAGAATTTGTTGATAACTTGTCTGTTAATTTTATTTTGAGGGTTAAATTGGTAAGCCTAAAAAATCGCTATCAGTGTAATGCCATTCATCAGCCAACTGAAATAAGAGAACATGCCAACCATAGATCAACTTTATAATTGATTTCATGGTTAGAATTTAGAACTGATCCATTGATTGAAGCTTTTGTTTTCTTTATGTTGTGTCCCTTAAAATTTTTTTTGTTAAGAAATTTATTGTTATTTCCTGCTTGATGTTGTTCAGATTCTACTTATCTGATCTTACTTTGGTGAAGGTATTGTGGAACTTAAAGGTTCTTTTGGATGGTCTTTATGCCTACAGGGACGTGGAACTGTTGTTACTGGCCGTATTGAACAAGGAACAATTAAAACCGGAGACGATGTTGAAGTTTTAGGGTTGACACAGGTGAAAAAATAGTCCGTCAAGATTCTCGAGAATCATCTGCATTTGGATCTGCTCCTGGATTTTCTTTTTTGTAGGAAATTTGAACTGTCTTTCTTAACTGTCTTTTATCTGAAATGGTAATTGAAATTTCATTGTCTATTTCACATCATTTACCTTCATTTATAAATAGAAATTGTATGACTGATCCAAAATTTTGTGTTTGTATTAGAAAGGAACCAGTATTTCATACTCTAGCTTTTGAAATAGTTACTTCTAGTACGATTCTGATATTAAATAAGACAACATATTTTATGAATTCAGGTTGCATTAATGATTCTTCATCCTTTCCTTTTTAGGTTGCTCATTATTATGCTAGAAATATATTGGATATAGTTAATGTATTTTTTTCTGTAATCAGAGTGGGCCTCTGAAAACTACTGTTACTGGTGTTGAAATGTTCAAGAAGATATTGGATCATGGACAGGTAAGTAAATAACTTGCCATTTTATTTTGTTTTGATATGCCTCTGCAGAATAGATTGTAAGGTTTTGCCCCATGTAGGCTGGTGACAATGTTGGCCTTCTTTTACGTGGGCTGAAACGTGGAGATGTGCAACGAGGGCAGGTTAGCATCGATTGTCATAATGTTCCTGTGGACTGTTAGCAGTGCCATCAACCTTTGATGTTGCAACATTTCACAGCAACTAAATATTACAGTATGACACTCATGAGCAATGGCAATACACAAACTGTTTTACTATCTCTTCTCTTCAGTTGTTAACATGTATGGCCAAAGTAGGTGTACATGATAAAGTAAACCTTGACTTGGCTTCAGTTTTAGGTTAACTCATGTAGTAATTTTTTCTAAACATATGGTTAAATGGAGATACGGTTGTTGAAATTATTGTAGGTAGTATGCAAGCCTGGTACATTAAAGACTTGCAAGAAATTTGAGGCAGAAATTTATGTGCTTACGAAGGATGAAGGTGGTCGCCACACTGCATTTTTCTCAAATTACATGCCCCAGTTCTTCTTGAGAACTGCAGATGTTACTGGTAAAGTTGAGCTCCCTGAGAATGTAAAGATGGTGATGCCCGGTGATAACGTCACAGCTACTTTCGAATTGATATCGCCTGTTCCTCTTGAAGCAGGTAATTTTATCTTGGTGTATCTACACAATAATGAAAGGCAATTTTTCTGATAAAAATCTTTTCTCAATGTCTTTCACAACTTACATTGATATTTATACGAAGAAAAATGATACAAATAGATCATTTTGACAAACTAATTATGATCAATTGGCGTTTTCGTGATTTCAATATTGACCTGCATGTTTGCAAGATTATGGACCTGGCATTACCACAATCATATAGAAAAACTGGTCTAGAGTAATTCACTTTTAGCTCTTCATGGAGTAGTAGCTTATACAGAATTTTCCTTGTATGCATTTGCCACAACTTCTGCTGGAAGGGCTTGAAATAGTGCCTATTTTGGATATATTCCAAACCTTTCAAGTTTAGGTAGTCTAATTCAAGTTCCTATAAATTATGTATTTATAACTTATCTGTTTGTGGATTTTACTATTTCATCAACTATAGCATTTTTTTGAGGACAGATCTGAAATGTGGTGACTAAATTGGCGTGTCTTGACCTAGTATTTAATTCTGAAACTTGTGTATCTGCAAAAGTGGTTTGGATTAATTTTCACTGCTGCCATGTGGCTAGTAAAACCATAGTTTCTTTTTCTTCTTTTAATTTCAGCATGCACCAACACATGATGGTCATGTGCATGCTTGAGGGAGAGGAAGTTATGTCACAGTTAAATTTATGGTCCTCAAAATCTATGAATGACATCATGTTGTTTGGAGTTGGGTGCCCTGATCTTTTTTTCGTCGTTGAGCTGTGTAATTTAATATTTCTAGTTAAATCAAGAACATTTAAATATCTTTTTATTGTTTATTGTAAGATCTTTTTAGGTTCCTCTCAAAGCTTTCCTTGTATCAGTAATCCTAATTGATAGCTAGTGTGAAACATTGTAGATGTCATTTGACTTAATACATGAAAGTAGGAGATGAATCATAAGGGGAAGAAAGATCTTTTATCCATTTATTTAGTTTTCATAATCATAGTAATTTTATTATTTTTTGTTCCAAAAATTGGCTTCTTTCCTTTTTATCCTTGGAAAACTCTCCATTCCACTGATGGGTCCACCTCAGATTGATATGTGAGGAATATGTAGGAAATATAGATTTTATATGGATCAGTTGTGCTATCCCTTTCATGCTCAATGTTTCCACTTGCTTTATCCAGAAGAGGTTGCATGTAAATAAGATAAACTGTTTTAATATGTTTGAATCGAGAACTGCAAGGCTGCATGATGAACATAATAATAACTTTGTTTCATGTTCCAGGACAAAGATTTGCCCTCCGGGAAGGAGGGAGGACAGTTGGTGCAGGAGTTGTATCCAAAGTGATCAGCTGAGTTTCTTCCACGGTAGCAGCATAGCTTCTTCTTCTTCTTCGTCCCCACAAAGAAATTGCAAGTTGTTGTTGTTGTTGAAACAGGCAATTTAGGTAGATGAGAATTGGTATGGTATACCAAATTTGTTCGTTCTCTTAAAATGCATCAACGGTAATCTGGGAATCTCAATTTTTTGGAGCTGAGTGTGAGCCTTCGCCATCAATAATCACCACATATTGATACGTTATTGACCAGCTGTATGATAGTGAGTGGGTTTCTTGTGATGTGTGTCGTTGCCTTGCATGCTTGTAGACATGACATTTAATTCGGCACCGTATAGGCTACGTTATCGGTGGGACCCTTTTGTATGTGGTGAGTTGGCACAGGAATTATATTTGCTTGTTGGATATGAAGGCTTTGCTTCTTTGCACGGGTATCGAGTTGTATGTTTTCTTGTTGAAACCAATACTAGTCACGGTGTTAGAACCGTTCCCGAATCCATTGATCGGGCTAATTATAATTTTATTTTTGTAGTTCTTATGTTTAGCATCTCATTTCTTATATTTAAAAAATATTAAAATTTTTATATTTATGTAAGTGAAATATTTAATATTTTTTTTTATGTTGTTGATTCTACTAACGAAAAATATTGCATGTGTTGTCACGTATGAAAAAAAAAAAAGGGATTAAAAGATAATTTCATAGTTATTCTTATAATCTAAATATGTTAATTTTATGTAAGCATAACTTTTGTGAAAGTTTTGTTATCCTTCTACGGTTTCGTTATCCTCTCGGATGATCTATCGAGAGGAAGCTTCGATTAACTTTCGAAGGTTTGTTCGTTGAGGATGGTCGTCATCTTGTTGATGTTGCTTGAAAGATAGTCATGAATCTTGTTATTGGCGATGATGATAACAAAGACTTTGAAGTTGCGAAAGTTGTCGACCTCCTTCTCAAAGATCGCCGATAGCAATTACTCCCTCAAATCAAAGGGCTGACAAAGTGGTTGTTGCTAGCGTCAAGCTCGTGGACTTTGAGATAGGAGATGTTTTGAACAATGATACTGCAAAAGCGATTGAAGTTAATGTAGAGGATGACAATGTTAATCAAGAGATCGAGCTTCGTGGGGAGGTACATGACAATATCGATGCCATTAAGGTCGATGCTAGCGACAATGTTGATTGAGGGATTGTCAGGTATTATGGTAAAGAAGATGTCGTGATAGCCGCACACGTTAGGGTCGACCCATTTACCAGTTAAGTCATGGGGATCGAGGAACATGACCTTTTTCTATGCCCTTAGAGTAACGTAAGCACAACATAGGCAAGGATTGGTGATGGCGACACCGATCTCAACATCGAATTTAAAATCGTCATAGAGGTCTCCCTTCTTCAAGAGGGCCAAGAACTAATGATGCGCGATGGAGATAGCCTCGACGTTAAAGAGAATCGAGGAAAGGCACAAGAGGAATGAGAAGCAGAGCCAAAGTTGGAGGGGAGGACGAAGCCCGAGAAAGATAACAAAACTTTTACAGAAATTATCCTTTTGTGAAATTAATATTTTTAGATGATGAGAACAACGGCTACGAAATTATTTTTTTCTCTTCTTTAGTATCATTTTCTGTATGTGACAGCGCACAATATTTTAAATATTTTATTTTCGTAAGTATAGCGATCTCAATATAATCTTTTAAAATATAATAATAATGTTAAACATAACTAATTACAAGGGATAATATGTAATTAGCACTAGCAATAGCAGATCGAGTCGGATTCGGGTCGAGTGGTGTTGTTATCGGGTTCGATTTGCTACTCTCCAACCCAACCCTCAGCCTGCACTCTCCTCCCCGCCCTCTTTATGTCGATCTATACTTCGCATCCATACTCCATCGGGCATTCTGTCGGACAACGTCCGGGCAGCACCCATGAATGAGCACATTGTCGTCACAGAAACCACATCCCTTTCGCGCATTCTACCGAACACCATCTGGGCAGCATCCAAGATGACATGGTCGCAACATCAACCACATCTCCATGAAGACGAAGAGCGAATTCCATGTTCCAATTCATTTTGCCTTTTTCTGAGAATTTATCGTGGATTGATCTGATGAAATGTGCAGCTGCCCAGAGCATGGCCAAAAAGTATATAACTGGAACAACACGATGTCGAGCATCTTATGAACGCAACTACAGTATACCTGCAGTCTTTGCCCACATCCACCTCCCGAATCTTGAATGGCGTAACCATTCCGAATCCAGCTTCCGTCTTCCCATCCCATACGCTGGTAGATGCTGCGAACTCCCACTGGATCATGATCTTGCAACCGAGACTTGAACTCTGGACGGAGTGGTAGGGCTCGCCGCCACGGAGTTCTTGACGAGCGGGATGAGCGACTGCACCACGTCCGTCATGAGAGGGCGGTAATCCGCTTCCGACTGCACGCAAACAGCAGCAATGGCTGCAACCTGCGACATCAAGACGCCATCAATTACCATCACCTGTGGAACAAGCAGCTGCAAGCTTGGAATCCGAAGGGTCGGTCTTTTGCTCACACCTGAATCAGCTCCTTCTTCGAGAACTGTCCACGCAGTGCTGGATCCACCATTTCCACCACTTTCTCTCTGTTGGTCAGCCGAGGAAGAGCCTGCCGTGCCATTAGCAGCAGAGAGGAGAGATCAGAGGAGTCGACCTTCGCAAGTTTCTCTCGACACAGGTATGAGTTGCAGCCAGAGATTTCAGCGAGATAGGAAACAGAGAACGGGAGGGTTACCAACCCATGAGACTAAGACATGCTCCCCGGGAGGCCTCCCAGGATCCACCGGCACTCTCCCTGTCAAAAGCTCAAGCAGAACAACGCCGTAGCTGTAAACATCCGACTTCGTCGTCAACTTGCCCGTCGACGCATACCTGCACCACCAAACCGGTCTCCCTGAGACGGGTCGAGCAAACCCAGACGAGGAACTCAAAACACAGACTCCGATCTCACTCACTCCGGCGCGACGTATCCCGTAGTCCCCAGCACTCGGGTGAGCACCTGGCCATTGATCTTGTCGGAGCCGACCTTGGCCATGCCGAAGTCCGACACCTTGGCCCTGCAGTCGTGGTCCAAAAGGATGTTGCTGCACTTGAAATCCCTGTGGATGACGGCGGGGACGGTGCGCTCGTGCAGGAACTCGAGCGCCCGGGCGCAGTCCAGTGCGATCCGAAGCCTCGTCCACCAGTCGAGAGGCTTGTGGCTCTGTTTCCTCGAGGTGGGGTGGAGGTGGTGTTGCAGGCTGCCATTGGGCATGTACTCGAACACCAGCAGCCGATGCTGTTGGTCGGCGCAGTAACCGAGCAGGCCGACCAAGTAACCGGAGTGCAGTCGGCTCAGAAGATCAACCTGCAAAATTTCTAGGTTGGGTGAAGGGAAGCATCGAAAGAAGAAGAAGTTGAGAGGTCGATTACCTCTGTTCTGAAGTCTCTCTCCCCTTGCTTGTCTTCCCTGCGCAGCAGCTTAATGGCCGCCACCGTCCCATCACACAGAGTTCCTCTGAACACCACCCCAAATCCACCGTTTCCGATCACATTGTTCTCGCCGAACCCATCCGTGGCCAGTTCCAGCTCCCTGTAAGTGAACACCTGCCCTCTCCTCTGCCTGGCCTGCATCGGACACCCCAGCTTTCCCCCATGGATGCAACTCCTCACATCTATTAGACCACACAAGCCCAAGCGGATGAAAGCGATGCTCAACCTTGACACGGAACCCGACACGGGAGGAAGCAAGTCGACCTACCTGGGCTATAGGCGATGGCGTTGGCGCCGCCATTAGCGGAGTACACAGGCATCTGCATCCGGTCGAAACTGCCTTTCCGGAAGCTGCTGTTGCAGCTGCTCATGTTTCTGCTCTTCCTGGCCTTGGCTCGGCAGACCTTGACCAGCAGCAGAGCGGCCACGGCCACGAGGATGAGCAACAGGAGAGGCACGACGATTAGGACGACGGCGTTGGAGGCGAGAAAGGCTTGGCCGCCGCCACGGGCAGCTTGGTGGTCATGGTGCAGCAATGACGGAGGAGGAGGAGGAGGAGGCGGCGGCACGGGGTAGGCCTCCATGTGGTGTCAACAGGAGGACGGGAGAGGAGGAGGCGATAAGGGAGGTGCGGGCTGCCGGGCTTCGACAAGCTTGGTCATATGGCAGAAGAGGAATTGGGAGGACGTCCAGTGGGAGCGTGAAGACGACGTACCAAGTCGCATATGAATCCAAGGTCGTTTCACATGCACTGCGCGCCCACCATCACTGCGTCAATCCTTTCCCCTCGTCCGCTCTCGTGATCTCTTCCCCTTTTTCTTTATTCGCAAGCACTCCATCCACCTCCTTGTCTCGTTGTTCCCTTGCGACTGCCCTCTCCTTCTACCCATTCAACCGCTCCCATTAATGTAGAATGCCCGTCGCTCAGGTTGCGTAGTAAATGTATGCTGCTGCTACTGCCGCTGATATTTCAAGGATTGGGACCATAACCAACTTCCATCCCCACCAACTAAATTAACCGTATCATTACAACATTTTCATCTTCGCTTTTGATCATCTCAGTCAAAAAACACAAAACCATTAGATTCCATCATCGAGTGAGAGATCACCTTCTCTTTGACACCGCAGCTACATGGTAGCGAGTGATGAAACAGCTGGGAATAGAACAAGAGAGACGGAGGAGAAAAGGAATCAGGATAGAGTGGTGAAGAGAAAGTTAAGTGCCTGGGTTTTCCAGCACCTGGCACGTTGACACCTCCGGCATGTCATGAAAGAGAAGGCCGGACATGGTTTGTTGTCGCCGGTTCATGTCGTCTTCCCAAAACGATGCTTCCTTCCTTTACTTTCTGCAAACGCAACGCATGATTGATCGATGCTTCGATGGCGATGGCTGTCTCGTGTGCATTTTACGTGCTACCATGGCGCAACTCAGTACGAAGTAAAGTCCCGTTAGGGCAATTAAGGAGACGCACTTGATTAGCGCTCTCCAATTAAGGAGACGCACTTGAGAGCCAAGCTTTCGATTCACGGAGCAGTCAACAAGAATGCACTGTCAGGAAGCTGAGGCTGATCACGAATAGACAAACTGAAGCCAAAAGAAACTGATGTTGTATCAACGAGCTGAGACCGAGGTGCCCCAATTAGGACAACAAAGCTGCACTGTCAAGTCTCCTCCTCCCTCTCATTCACCTCCCACCATAACTGCGCCGTGGATCCCGACGTGTCGCTGTCGGCACAACTCGCTTGCTTGCGCAGTCCTCGTTCGAGTGCCCCAGTGGCGCGGGCAGCGACGCACACGGCGCTGTTCTGGGCCAACAAGCTTCTGCATTCCGCCACGTTGTGCTTCGTTCGGTCCCCCCCGCCCCCAAAAAATGAAATGTTGGCTCGCTTTGCCTGCGAAACGAGACTGGGAATTGTCCTCTCTGTCACGGGAAAACCATCCATCAGAAACAGAGTCACCGTCAGAGCAAACAGTAATCACCGCAGCAGCAGCTGATGCAGAGAGGCTAAAGCTAACCAAGCTTAAGAAAGCACTGCGCCTGCCCAGATTTGCGTGGGGAAATCCATGTACAGATTGCCGGAGTGTCACAACCTTAGCTGGTTTTGCCTAAGGCGTGCGGCACCCTCGCGTGTCCGTCCGCAAAGGTCAGCCTCCCCGAAGCCTCCCATTGTCCCTTAGGACCACCAAAAGAGAGAACGGGTTAGAGAGAACGCCTCCAACGGGATCCACAAGCAAACATGTCCGAAAAACACTTCATAGACAATGCAAATTACAAACAGACTTTACAAGCTCTGAACAGTGGCACAACAAAGGGTAAAATGGTCCATTGCAGACCGAAAAGCTCTCTCACGTGTCCACATGACGCAACCTTTATTTACAAGCCTAAAGAGGCCACCAACCCAACTAAAATGGGACTTATAAGCCTTCGGCCGCCCCTTTACATTCTGTACAGGGCATGAATATGCCAACAGACACGGACATATATAAGCATTACCTCAAACACCCTGTTTCGAAGTTTG